TTTCAGGATTCTTCGATTCGCAAATTTGGAAAAGTGTCGACGGAAGATGAAAGTAACCTACGTTGAGAACAAAAAATTCCACCCCATAAATTAACAATCTTTCAATTAATAAATTAGCTATAATTTTTAAGTTTGCGATAGTAGTAACTAATTTCTTTCATCTATTTCTGCTCCCAAATTACGCTACACGAATCTCAAAATAAATCCAGCAACCACTCGCAAATCCGCAAAAATCGCGCACGAGATATTACACCGAAATGATTCGCCCCGCGAATTATCCGGGAAAATTCAAAGGCAAACATTAGACTGGAGAACACTGTGTGAAAAGGAAGAACAGGAAGCAAGGGGGCGATTTCCATGCCCCCGTCTCGCGAAAGGACGCGTATCTCCGCTATCTCTTTCCGGTAGCAGCATCGATAACAGTATCTCGGCAGGCATGGAACAGCGGTAACTCAAACGAGAGAGAAATAGGCAAAAAGAGAAGACCGGCATAGCTACAGCTAGGCTAGACGTTAAAGGCACAGTCTGTTCGAAAAACGTGCCCTCGAACAAAGAGCGTGGCGTGCATCGACGAGCCTACTATCGATGTGCTGCGCCTTTTCCTTCTCCCCCGTGGATTATTCGCGTCTGGAACCAAGCATGTTTCTCCTCTCTTCTTTTCTTCCATGGTCGATAAACGCGCTCTCGTACCATGAACCTCTGAAGCTAGATCGAAAGCACCGAACCACCCCTCTCTTCTCTCTCCCTCTTCTCGTCTCCTACCGTTCCTCTCCCCTTTCCCTTGTCCGGGCATGTAGTTAATCCGGGATAAAGGTGGTACACATAGGTAGCACGATACGAGCTCGTCGAAGATGCATCCGATGCATAGAGCCAGGGTATCCCCGGATTTATAGACTTACACGAGCCGAACGATGGAGAATCCATCTCGTTCCGGCCGATCGAGAAAGATCGAGGACGAACGTAGTGCTACGACGTTCACCACTGATCCCTGTCTCTCTCTCACTCGCTCTCGTTCTCTTGCGTGCATTATATTAATTAAATTCACCCTTTCAACTGTGGTTTTCCACGTTCGAGAGAGGAGTGATACGTGAAACACGGTGTTTCGCAAGGGATCACGCGAGCAGGGAGAGAAAGTTTTATTGTTCCGTTTGAACAGAATGTCGCGCGATCAAATTCCATTACGGATATTAATAAAATAGCGGATAACAATGGTCTTTACGGTTTTGTCACCAGCGACGAGTGATAATGCCCCGGTTGCTGTTACTGTTTTCACGCCCGATTCGACGCGACGGGAAAAAGCTGCTCCTGCAAATCCCTGTGCGCGAGGTACAGACGGTGAATAGTGGAGTGATTAGTAACTCGATCGACTGAGAGTGTTTTTGTTCTTTCGAGGTTTTCTTGTATCGATGGCAGAAGATTTCTTAAAGAGGGCAATATTTTTCTACGTTTTTTTAATGGGACTGTGTAACTATTTTTTTATCATATTGTATTCACACACAGTGATAAAAAATAATTTTGGAAATAGGCGAATTTTGGTCTTCGTGGAAATTGAAAAATTCTTTCACACAGTGGTTTCTACTCATTCTGAGGAATCAGCAACTGATAATCATTTGTCCTAGAAGTAAAGGGAAATTTATAAAAAATTCAGTTAAATGCAAGAATGAAATCCCATAACAGTTTTGCTATTTAAACAAATTTTCAAATCGCATAAAATTTTCAAACATACAAGTATTTCGAATGACATAAAAGTGGACTGAGCCAGCAACACTGTGAAAAAAAGGATTTTCCAAATATTTATCAAAGTCTCATGTTGTCCACTCAATAGAAATTCTGACTAACAATTTTTTTTTTACCATCACGTCGTCACAAACGACAGAAAAATTGCGCACAACCCCCTTCCAAAGACAAACACTCTCTATATCCAAAATTGCAATAGCATAGTCGTACTAGTTTTTCCGGCGGCAAATTTCCAAAGTTGACCCGTTTGAAATACGACATCCCTTTAATTAAATATTCAACGCGGTGGTGGTCGTATTCAGGCAAGGGAATCGAGGGCATGCGCCAGCACCGCGTTTATAGAGATTTTCATAATGTCAAGGTCCGGTTGGCCGCGCCAACAACTATAACGTAAAAGGAGAAGAGTAGGACGTTCTCTGGTTGGTTCCATGAATAACAAAAAAGAAACGAGGACGAATGTTGCAGCCCCGGAAGATTTGTGGGCTGGACAACAATATTTATTACGTGCCGTCGAGTCATCTGTAAACATAAAATAAACAGCTTGCACATCGCGTGCAAAGCAGTGTATGTATGTATTATATATATGTATATGTATATATACGCGCTTCAATTTCCTTCGAGCGCGTTTGCCACCACGACGGCTGAGAATTTGTCAGAATGAAATATCTAAATCCTCCACCCCTTCTTGTGTGTGTATATATTAAAATATAGCCACGGTACGAAGAAGATGGAAGCGATGTTACGCGGCATTAGTCCTTTGATACTCGTGGAACGGATGCCGCGTCGCATCTAACTCTTTTATGCCTCACAAAAGCCAACTTTGCCTTCCATTTTCTCCAAATGAGAGCGGATAATGGCGGTGTACTTTCATTTAGCCGGCACAACCTACCGCCGGAACATTCACAAGCGTTCTTGAACTATATACCAAGCTCTAGTTCCCTTTTTTTTTTATTCTGACGCTTCTTCTTCTTCTTGTTTGGTGTCTTGGGGAGAATAGAGAGAAAAGAGTCTTAAAGACAGGGTTGAAGCGTTTGACTTGTTAATGGAGGGTTCAAGGGTTGATCGATTCTTGTTCATTTCGGTCAAAGTGTTGTTTTGAACGCTGAAGAAAGGATGGAAATGGAGGGAAAAAATTGGACACGAAGGAAATCTCGAAGTTTAGATTAACAAGTTAAGCAATTCAGGCTGTGAGATTTCAGCTGGCAGGCTGTGAGATTTCACGCATTTTGATTTCAGTATCTTTGATAGTCAAAGTGTTTTTTGAACGCTGAAGAAAGGATGGAAATCGAGGGAAAAAATTGGACACGATGGAAAACTCAAAGTTTAGATTAACAAATTAAGGGATTTATGCTGTGAGAACATTAAAATTTTTATTACGGTTGAATATGTGAAGGAAGTGACCAATTCTTTTAGATTTTAGTATTTTTGATAGTCAAAGTGTTTTTTATACCCTGAGGAAAAGTTGGAAATGGAGAAAAAAAATTGGACACTGTTTAAATCCCAAAATCTAGATTAACGAGTTAAGCAATTTAAACTGTGAAAGCCTCGAAACTTTCATCAGGATTGAATATATTTTAATGGAGGGAATTTTAATGGAGTATTAAATGTTACGAAGAATAAATCAATTCCGAACCAGAATTTAAACTATATTTCAAATTTGAACAGAGTATTCTTTCCAAGTGTGTAAAGAGAATTGAAACAACTCATACAAAAAAGCTTCAACCGACACTTTTCCTAATATTTAAGATTGCTCTAGATACTGTGTAAAAAGAATCCACTTATATCTACTCTAACAGAACAATTCCTCAAGTTTGCAAACAAATGCAAAAAATGCGTTCACGTTGCTTCCATAAATATTTTAGCATCGATTAAAAAAATCGTTTAAATTACGCATAAGCCTTTTTTGCATACGCTGTTTCAATTATCGCAACTGTCCAAGGTAGCATCAACAGCGACCAGGATTTCGTAACAGCTTATCATCAGAATTACGTGTACTCGTTACATTAGCGTCGAGTGCACGTACCTTGCTCCTCACTCATGCATATTTTTACCTTAACAATAGGATTGCTCGGAATGTCGATAAATTGTCTAACGTTACGATGGAAACATTTTCGCAATGAAAGTCGCGTCGAAATAATTCATTTAAGCTACTCCAACGTCAAATGCAGATATGTGTTTCTCGAGAAATTATCCAGAAAACTCTCTGTCACAGTAATTAATACTCTCGCGGAAAAGGAAATACAAATCCACAAATATTTCACGCTCTTCTTTAATACACAACTACCTTCGTGATTCGCTTATCCCTCTAGCTTGCTCCATTCCCAGTAACTATTCTACTATAACAATAACGGTTTGTACACTGCCACGTATTCACCTGAACGGAATACACATCGCGCTAAATAATATCGTCGCGTATAAACATACATAAATATATATATATATACATATACACGGGATTAAATGATTACTATTATCGCCCTCCTCGCTCTTTGACGACGATGCTCTATCATGGCACGGTTAGAAGGGTGAAAAGGCTCTACACATGCGTTTGCAAAACGGATTGCTCGATGGTTTACAACGTTAAACCGGAAACACAGAAACTGGGACCTGACATAATTACCGACTAATACGTGTTTACTAACATGATGCAGCAATACTGTGTAAATACCTGAGTATAATTATGTTTTCCCCCTCTATCTCTCTCTTTCTGCCTCTATCTGTTTCTCCATTCTACACGGAAGAAGAAGAAGAAGCATTATGGTGAACGATACGCGGTAGTACGATTGTGTGAAACATTGTTTATGACTCATCGTATGCGGCGTCTAGACGACAGATAACACGTACACGTGAACTACAGCCTTAACTGGCAGCAACGAGGTATAATTAACCGCGTTAAAAATTCATTAAACAGACAAACAAACGGGAGTGGAACGATCTCGCGGGGTTTCTTCGTCTTATCTGTCGGCTATTCGAGCGTGAAGAGGAATATAAAGAGGAATAACGAGGTCGAACGAATTATCCAAGCAAAACACACCGTTTCTCTGTTCTTCTTTTCGATAAACAATCTCTCCACGACTCGTCGGACTCTTTTTCTCGATCAATTTTCTAGTAAATTGATCGCGATTCAACTTTCGACGATCGTAATACACGCGTGGAAGATCTCTTCTTCGTTTCGAGGAGTTCCTTCGCGTGCAAGAAGACACAGAGTCTTCAGAAGGGAAGAGAAACTTCTGAAAGCCATCGACGCTGCGGCGTTTCCCTCGCGATTCTCCACTTTTCTTTCAATTCGGTTTCTTTCTCGTTCGTTTCTTCGTTCCTCCTTTTTAGTCTGCCTCGGTCTCTTCTTTTGCTTCTCTCCGGTTTCTTCCTCTCTCCCTCTTTCTCTCTCGGATTTATCACGCGTCAAAGTGCCCCCGTCGCCTGTCCTTAAGACGGCGAATCCTGCAGCTCCTGCTTCTCCTGCACTTTACCGATATTCTCCGCCTCCCACACCGTGTCCGGAAGTTTCGTTCCCAGCGTTTCCGGGAAGAAGAGAGACAGCAGCCCCGCGGACAGAGCCATGCACCCGAAGAGAATCAACGGCAGTGCCGGCATGATTTGTGCCTGCATCAGAGACGAAAAGCTAGCATGAGGGGAAATGGAGAACGCAAGGGACGTTCAATTGATCTATTTCCAACGCTTAGGAAATTCCGCGTTCCAGAGAAATCTCGCGGAAGTTGGCCACTGATGCGTTTTTTAGTGAAATAGAACGTATTTTAGCTAAAATGTTCTGTCTAATAATTTCTGATTTTTCAAAATTTTTTGAAATATTTAGAACTCGACATGTTCTCCATCTTTTATGGAAATTTCGATGAATGGATAACGACGTGGCTTCTAATTGGGGAAAATATCGAAGCTAATGAAAACGTATAATAATTTTTTAAACAATGAAAATCTTTCAATCTATAGATCTAGTGATCATAAAGCACGCCCTTTTGAATGTAATAAACGGAGCACCCTGTGTACTCAATTTTTCTCCGATAAATCGTAGATCTCCAAGCTGGAATACCTCCTCGATTAAAATCGACGAAGAAGGAAAACGTGAATCTTTGTTTCGCAATAATGCGAAGCAACAAGCGGTTCGTGTCAACAGTGTACATTCTTACGGCGCTTCTACTCACCAAAAGTGGAGTTTGCGGTGACAATATTGACCCCATGCGGCCGGTCATGCTGCAAATTCCAAGGAGGGAGTGTCTCAGGTTCGTGGGGAACAGTTCCGCCGTGTAAATGTAAATCGTGGAAAAGGACATCGTAATGCACCACTTGCCGCCCATGTAGAGGACCAGTGGCAGGAAAGTCCAACTTCCTGAGACACCATTTGTTACACGTTACGCAACAGTATTCCACAAAGACCGACCCGGTTAATCTCACGGACAAAAACCTGATAGAAAATCCAAGTTACCTGTAGGCAGGAACTGTATCGCCAGGCAAAAAGCTCCGCTCAGTAAGAAGGACGAGGACAAAGTAGCTTTACGACCGATATAATCGGTCAGGAACCAGGTAAGAAAATAAGCAGGTATCTCGACAATGGCGACTAGTATAAAATTAGTGTATTTATCGCCAGCGAAGGCCACTGAATTCAAAGATAGTCCATAGTAAACAAAAGTGTTCGTCAACCAGCAAAACGAACATGCTAACAATCGTGTGAGCATCGTGGAACTGTTCAAAATTTGCATCACCGGCGATTTCTTTTCCGACACTACCAATTGCTCTGTCTAGGAGATGAAAAAACAAGTTTAATATTTCAAACTCGAAATTAAACATTTTTGTGTATACAGAAAAATGTGAAGTATATACCTTCTCAGTCTTCACCATGTTCAATTCTTTAAACGCGCCGATCGCCTCATCCGAGACTTGGAGCCCGTTAATCCTCGCCATTTTCCGATATATACTCTCCACCTTCTCGTGTTTCCCATTCGCCAATAGCCACCTTGAAAATGGCATCATTGTCTGTGTGTGTTTTTGTTTTTTGGTTTCTGTTCAAGTTTTTGCTTTTTTTTTTTTTTTTTGGTTCTACAGTAATGTTCGAAGGGAGAAGAAACGAGTGTGTTTGTATAGGACACGCTTTATCGATAACCTATGGGTGTACATGGAAAAAAGGAAGAAACGTGAGATGTTTGATTCGCTGAAAACGAGACAATGGTAACTGGGATAAGATTAAAAGTGGTTTAAAAGTGGATCGCGTGTTAATTAATTAGAGAACGCGGTGTACGTCAAAGGTTCGAACCGGTTAATTGGTCGGATATCGTTGGAACGCAACGATCGCTTCTCTCGAGTCTTGAAACGTTTCTTCGTTTCGAGATCGTTAACGAGGCACATGGACAATGCAAATTAAACGGTGAACCGAGGAAATTACCTGACTGATTCCGGGATCAACACGGGCAACAAGATGGCGAGCAACGCAGGACCGTACACCATGCGAAGGATCAACCGCCAAGATCTTAGCCACATCGAGATCAAGCCCAACAGCATCTCTCCTACGGCGAACATACAGCAGATGATGGTGCTGGCTAGGACTCTGCCTCGGACGCCTGCCATTTCCATACCTGAAAACGGCGTAGATCTTCGATTCTTTTTTTTTTCTAGATCCCCGAAGAGTGTCGCTTATGAAGTTGCGAGGAATGAAGTTTTCTTTTAATTAGAAAAAATATGAAAACAGCATAGATCCTTGAGGAATGGCACTTGTGAAGTTGCAAGGAATGAATTTTTTTTTAGATTAGAAGAAAATTGTAGATCCTCGATTTTTTTCTAGATCCTTGAGGAGTGTTTCTTACAAAGTTGCAAGGAATGAATTTTTTTTAAATTAGCAAAAATATGAAGACGACATAGATCCTCGAGGAATGTCACTTATGGAATTTCAAGCAATCAATTCTTTTTCTAATTAGAAAACATGAAAACGGTATAGATCCACGATTTTTTTTTTCTAAATCCTCGGAAAATATCTCTTATGAAGCTGCAAGGAATGAATTTCTTTTTTAATTAGAAGAAATATAAAGACATAGATCCTCGAGGAATGTCACTTACGACATTTCCAGGAATGAATTTTTTTTTCGAAGTTGAAAAAATTATGTAGTCCTTCTAATTACTGAAAATTTATAGAATTCGAATCTTATTGCAATTACGAACAGAATTTTAATATTTTCTATACGAGTGAATTATTAAGAACATTTACGAGTGAAATATTAAGAAAATTATGTCGGTGGCAATCGCAAGCGGCAATGGCACCTACAGGTTTTTCGATACGGAAAAGGTCCCTGTGCTGCATCGAGTGGGGTCGCGCGGCATGTGAAACATGGCCGTTATTTATATCAGCATTATTCACGTCGAACATCTTCCCTTACTTTGGCCCCTCGTTATTAACTCACCTAAAATAAATCCGGCGCTGTAGATACCGGCCGCGACAGTCGCGTCGATAAATTCGAACGCGAGAAACATCCAATAATTCACAGAAAAGGAATGTATCAGGCCGCTGATTCCACTCAGGAACGTGGTAAGCGTCAGAATCGTGCGTCTTCCGTATCTGAAAGTAACGTAACGAAATATAAACGGTTCAATCTCCCGCTTTATTCTTCCGTCTCCTCGAAATTACGACGAACAACCTGTTCGATCTGTACAACAGTATGGAAAAATTCAAATTTTTCTCTAAACCCCTTCTGACGAACCCAGAGCAAAACTAAGTGCATTCATATCCAAGTATTTTCCCCAATATGCATTATTCACAGACACTTAATATTAAATTTTTTCAAATTGTATCAAACGTGATAAGATAGTAGATTCATAAGTAAAGACGTAATTCTTTTTAACTTTTTTTTTCTTTGAATACCGTTAAAAATTATTGTAGTATTTTTTTAAATTTTACTATTCAAATATTCAAATATTGAAAATTTCAGAAATCCGTTAAATTTCAATGATACATTCATTAAGATTATGAATTTTTCCGAGTGAACGTTGTCAGGAAATACAACTCCTGCCTATATTTCTGAAGCACCCTGTATATAGCAAAGAAGATTCGCGAGAAGATTCTTGACACGAGCGAGAGAAATCGTTCCGGAGCGAGGCCGAGCCACGAGGACCGTCCTGCAAGTTCGAATCATTATCATAGATCTCCGGAAGTTCGTCCAAAGTACAGTTTCATTTAAATACACTCCCTCCCGCGTTCTGGGCAATCTCAAGTATTCCCTGACTTCGAATTAGAATTTGCGAGCTACCAACTCCGAAAGTCATCCACTTGAATTCCAGTTCCCTGGTGACTTTCAAACACGCGTCGCAAAATGCTTAAAAAACTATAGAGATATGAATCTTCAGACCAAACAGACACTTCCACGATGTTAATTCTATCTACTGAAATGAAATTTCCAATACACCTTCGATTCTCACGAGATTATCTAGGATCATTTTTATTACGTTCCATCAGACGATCTCGATAGGTAGGACATCAGCGACCTGTTGATCTCGATCTAATCCTCCTCAAAAAACTTCCCCGAGTCGTTTCCTCCCTCTTTCCTCTAATCGAACGTCGTTAGGCGTTCAGCTCGGAGCAACGACTCCATTTCCTGGATCCCCTAATCCAACTTAGCCGTGGCTAATTAAGGGGGAGTCCAAGTTTGACAACCCGAAAAATAAGCGATCTTTAAGAATTTTTTTTTGGTGAACTGGTAAAGATATCGCGATGCTTCTTCTTTTGATGGAAAGAAGCATCCTTGGACTGTGGTACAGAAATTTTGTTTCGTGTAATTTTTCAAATTTTCATTCAAAATTTTATATTTCAAGTAAAATAAAATATCGATTATCTCTGCACGCCAATTTGAAAAATATAGTTTCGTGAAAAACGCGTTTAAAGTTAGAGCTTCGACACATTTCCACAAGTGTGCTCTTAACTTCGTTATTTTCACGAATTCCCCCTTAATATTTCGAGACGACATTTTTGAAATATTTCACTCTGAATTTATGAAAAAAGAAGATCGACCTTTTTCAAAAATTCGAAGATTATTTCTCACCTGTCCGACACGTATCCAGCAAAGATCAGGCCAACGAATTGGCCGACGTTATTTATCGTGCCCACCAGCGCGAGTTTCCATCGATTGGTGTCGCAGGTGAGGTCCCACTGTATCGATAAAACGAAGGAAACTGATGAATCCGTTGATTACTTACCAAGAGCTGTGTACACGATTTTTGATCTACGAGAGGATCGATTGATATCATACCTCGCTGAGGATCGTATTTTCCGATGGATCGTAGATCCACGAGTCGCATTTTCGAGTCGCGTTAAAGAATGTCTGGTTGGTGCATACACCTGTGTGATTTCGAACCACGTAACGGGTGCACTTGGACATCTCTGACGCGTCGGGAACGGAGTCAGGCAGCCAGGATGTATTGAACACAGTGTTTGATGGATCCTCGCATTCTGGCACCACGCACCTGGTTTTGAATAATTCTTTTCGTTGTTACGATCGAAGTCGCCAAGTTGAAAACGGTCCTAGCCAATTTTTTGTCGTAACTCGAACGAACTTCATTGCGACATAAAACTGTTTACGTGTGCCACTCTGTGTTATGTTTTATAGTTTGAAATTTTTCGATACACTTATCTCCTGACACCGATGATAAAGAGGTAATTATAATAGTTCAGAAGTGAAATTTCGAATAAATTTTCAGTACGTATAAATGTATGGTAATTAATATGTGGCATACTTGACGTATTCTGTGCTGTAGGAGAAATATGAGTCTTGGAAGAATTGTGAAACGAAGAAATGGAAAGAAAAACTCGACGCTTTTGATCAGTAAATTGTGAGAGAGAAAAATCGAAGTTTCCATTCGACTTTCCTTAAATTTAATTATATAAAAATGTCTATAATATTATAGTCTCCTTTTCTTCGTCTCTCGTTCGAACCTTGAATTAAAAAATTTCTAAAAAATTGAATAAAAAACCTGAAACACTCTAACATTCCTCCAACTCGTCAAACACCCGTTATCCTCAAAAAACTTCTTCCACGTGACCGCAGCGTTAATCCTAACAGCGCTAAACTAAAACCACAACTTTCCCCAAGATGTTTCATTGAAGTAACATTGATAATCACCGGCGTAATTAGGATATTAATAGAGCACAGAGGAAGGAAGCGTGCAATAACTGGCTGGTTATTGAACTTTTTTTATTACAAAAGCCAATCACTAAAGATAGCCCGGTAAGTGACTCGGTGTGTTTCTGCGCCGATGTGTGTACCCAACGCTTGTCGCGCTTCGCCGCGAAAGGGTTAACAGGGTGTCCAATAAAGCAATCGATTACCCGTCGCGTCGATTACATAATTCGATGTTCGATCAATCCCCGCAGACTCTGTGAAGTATCGTGAGAGAGAGATAGATAGATAGATCCTCGTTGATTGCACTTGACCGTCGCGCATTATTCAAGCGATCTCGTGCGCAACAGTTGTGATCCGTTCACGAGCACGTGCTTCTAAGTGCGACTTCGTGACGAACAAAGGAACAAGGATACGCGTGTTGAATTACGCGAAAAGAAAATGAAACGAGGAAAGAGAGAAAAAAAAAATAGGAAGATAATTCGTATCATAGATATATAGTGGTGGAACGGATGGGCAAACGTACCTGTATTTAACTTCTCCGGCTGTGAACACGTAGGCAAGCGTGAATCCTGCTGACAAGAACAGAGGCAGGCTTATTATCGCGAACATAATCATTTGATAGTATCCGAAACTATCCACATCCTGCTTCCTGTCTGAACCACTCTTCTCCCCTGCGAAACAGAGAAAAAATCTATTTACTTCGACCGTGTGCGAAATTTTTGGCGGTAAACCTGATTAGAATCACCTTAGAAGGAATGCTTTATTTAATAAAAAGAAGAAGAAGGAAGAAATCAGGTCGATCTCGTGAAGCTGTTAATCCGAAAGAATCAGATTGGAAAAATCGAAGCTCGCCATTGACACGCGATATTTCTCCGCACGCAATCGCTAGAAAAAGGGAAAAAGACGATTGAAACGTGACTTCCACGCCCCTTCCTCGCGTGTCCACGTAATCGTGTGCCACGATAATTTCCCCTTAAATCACGCGCGTTCCGTTTCTCCACCAGCGGCCATTCGCGCCAGGTGTAATCGTACCGATGGCCATCGATTTATTCGTCATCGCTCAAACGAACAAGCTCTCTTTCTCTCTCTCTCTCTTGCTATTTATACGATCGTAACATCAGGGCATTGCCGTGTTTCACTTAGCGCGAACTTCGACTTGAACGTCGCTCTAATTGATTTAGCCGGCGTTGTTAATGAGTCGAGTCACCGAAACAACACGAACAGCCTTCGAGTTTTCCTTCGCGCGGACAAAAGACGAGGGAAAAGTGAATAAGTAATAGCTCGCCGATGGGAAATATGAGAGAAAATTGTTGTGCGTCGTCGATAGCCGACAATTAAGTCGAGTTACGAGTAATCAAGCTCTAGAGTGGGCGCGCTGAGGATATCGTGCACCGGTGCTTGGTAAATGTGCGTGTACTCGATTGGTACTGTGTAACACTGTCGGTAGGTGAGTTCCAATGAGTATATCCGTATTTATTCTTTTTTGGTATTTATTTTTGTCACTTAAGTTGTGCTTTGATTGCCCCCAGAAGAGCTTTTAATATCACTATGTGGGTGAATTTTCATAAAAAAGTATTGTTGACGATAGAAAAATAAAAGTGGCATTCCAGGGTTAATATAAAGCAATCTTAATATCGTATGGCCATTTTTTCTGAACTTTTAGCGTAAGAAAAAAAAAATAGTGGTATTCTAGGGTTAAGGTGGTTTTCATGCAATAATATGGAGGCAATCTTAATACCGTGGGGCCATTTTTTGGCCATCTCTTCTGAGTACTTGTGAGTGACTTTTCATCCAAAGTATTTTTAAGGTAAGAAAAGGAAAAGAGTGGAATTCCAGGGTTAAGGTGGTTTTCATGCAATAATATGGAGGCAATCTTAATACCGTGGGGCCATTTTTTGGCCATCTCTTCTGAATACTTGTGAGTGAATTTTCATCCAAAGTATTTTTAAGGTAAGAAAAGGAAAAGAGTGGAGTTTCAGGGTTAAGGCAGTTTTCATGCAATAATATGGAGGCAATCTTAATATCGTGGGGCCATTTTTTGGCCATCTCTTCTGAATACTTGTGAGTGAATTTTCAACCAAAGTATTTTTAAGGTAAGAAAAGGAAAAGAGTGGAATTCCAGGGTTAAGGTGGTTTTCATGCAATAATATGGAGGCAATCTTAATACCGTGGGGCCATTTTTCGGCCATCTCTTCTGAATACTTGTAAGTGAATTTTCATCCAAAGTATTTTTAAGGTAAGAAAAAGAAGAGAGTGGAGTTCCAGGGTTAAGGTGGTTTTCATGCAATAATATGGAGGCAATCTTAATACCGTGGGGCCATTTTTCGGCCATCTCTTCTGAATACTTGTAAGTGAATTTTCATCCAAAGTATTTTTAAGGTAAGAAAAAGAAGAGAGTGGAGTTCCAGGGTTAAGGTGGTTTTCATGCAATAATATGGAGGCAATCTTAATACCGTGGGGCCATTTTTTGGCCATCTCTTCTGAATACTTGTGAGTGAATTTTCATCCAAAGTATTTTTAACGTGAGAAAAATAAACGAGGATTACTCATCGGACACACTGATTAATTATCACTGAAAGTATCGTTAACTTGGGAAAAATAAATGTGGATTACTCATCGGACACACCGATCAATTATCACCAAGTTTATTACCTCTGGATCCATCCTTGGTCTTCGGCGCCGACGACGAGTCGTCCTGCGAGCAAAAGAGCTTCATGCTTTCCTCCTCGTCGCCCCGGAGGCTGCGAACACATACAGATTCAAGGATTATGCCGATCCGTGAACGACGTTTCCTTGTTGACCCTAACTGTCGAAGGTCAAATCGCCATTCGATCGTCGACTGGCTCGCGGGAAACTCTCGCGAACGACGCAATTGCACGCGGGCAATTACATAAAAGCGCGGAGAGATCGGTGGGCTTTTACCGGAGGAACGAAAATTATTGGGAGAGACGTGAAAATGATCGGGGGAGAGAGAAACCTGTCGCGAATAGAACTTTCACGCCGTCATCCGGTCAACGATCACTTCTCTGGTCAAACGATCCGTCGCGATACATCGCGCGCTGTTTCTACAATCGTGTATCGTTATCATTATCTTCGTAATTCTATAGAGAATCGTAGGAAAGAGTTCGGCCGCTTTCGGTTTCACAATTTATAAAATGATTTGAAACAGAGACGTCTTCCCCGCTCTATTTAGGTCGTTCACAGCGTTCACGTTCACTTGCTCTAAATAACGTGTCGCTTATCATTTTGTTGATGAATTTAAACGACGAATTGGAGAACAAGACACCATTCACTGGTCAAACAAGGTTGCTCTAGTAACTGAACAAGTCATCTTCAACTTGAGCTGGGAATTTCTTCTCCAGATTTAGCTACGGTTTCAATTACCGAACAGAAATTCAATCTCTCCCTCAATTAAGAACGAGTAAGAATTATGAACAATTACTTCCCTCTTCGTTCTTGCAAACGTGATCGTAATGTATTTTACGATCGATACAGGTAGAAGAGTGCAATTAAAAGTGAATAATTCCTCGATAAATAAATTAGCGATTATTGCGTTCGAAGTATTGAATAATCAATGACGAGTTAACTCGTTTTACAGAGATAACGGTTGCAGAGATCGTTGCAGTATCACCTTGCAGATGCACAGTTGACGAAGAAAATCTACGAACCACAAGTTTTTACCACAATGGAATCCGTACGCTGCTCGAAAGACGTGGAATATTTCAACTTTTTGTTAAATAAAAATCTCCAACTACTTCCTACACCTGGTAATTCTGAGAACGCACTTGAATTCCTAACTCCTTTTTGCAAATTCCTGCATAGCTTAAGATGCACAGTGATCTCGATCTTTCGACCAGCGGTGTAATTGCTGGAACAGTTACAGAATTTATGGGAACTCTACAAAATGGTCTAACTTCAACCTTAGTTTTTTCTATGATCCTTTTTGGTTGAAATCCTTATCTCTTCTGCAAATTCTTGCGTAGATTAAAATGCACAGTGGTCCTCAGACTTTTGACCAGTAGTGTCATTTCTGGAATGTAGAATTTTAAAGAACTCTGAAAAATAGTCTTCACGTCAAACTTAATTTTTTTAGTTGGAATTCTTAACTCTTCTGCGAATTCTTGCATAGATTAAAATGCACAGTGATCCAGAACTTTTGACCAATTCCTGGAATGCAAAATTTTGAAGAACTCTGCAAAATAATCTACATTTCAGCCTTATTCTTTTATGATTTCTTTTAATTGAAATTCTTAACTCTTCTGCAAATTCTTGCATAGATTAAAATGCACAGTGATCTCAAACTTTCGACCAATAGTGCAATTTTCGTTATTTATAGTTATTTTCCTTTTATGTGATTTTTTGTTGAAATTACTAACTCTTTTCTGCTAATCCTTGCATAGATTAAAATGTACAGTGATCTCAAACTTTTGACCAACGGCACACTTTCTGGAGAATACAGAATTTGCGGGAACTCTGAAAAATAGTCTGCATTTCAACTTAATTTTCATTTTACGTGATTGTTTTCACATTATCTGTATTTTATATATTAATAAAGATCGAATTTTACCGAGAAAAAGCAGCGAGCCCTTTCCTATGTCTCCGGTGTATGCGTGCAGGTCTTGTTGTGGTAACCTCGCGAAAAATTTCACTAACAACAAGAGTAATCGTGCACGATGTTCGGACACGTCGAAGTCCGCCGATAAAGTTGATAAACGGGGTGACCGCGTGTTCGCGCGATCCAACTGGCCGCGGGCAATTCCGATTTTCTACTGGCGCGAATCGAAGCGAGTGGACGACTGTAAGCTGGCCAGCAATGCAAACGGAGGCGTTCGCCTCGTCTCTCTGTACACTCTTACATACTACGCGAAAATTAATGCGTCATCGAACCGTGCTCGCGATTTCTAACCGGAATTGTCACGGTTCGATTACGTTTTCCTTCCGAACAGAGCCGCGTTTGTATCTCGTTCGATTCGTTTCACGCACAGCTAACGAAGAAGAGAGAGAGAGATGCGAACATCTTCGTGTCATCGCAAAAATGGCCTTCCATTGCGCCTGGAATTCCATTGACTTTCTAATACGAAAGTGTTGCACGTCTTGAACATCGACATTCATATGCTGTTCGCGACAAAGCCTCGTGCCGCCTTGACGTTCTCCAGCCGAATTAATAATCCAAAGAGGAGATGCCCTTCGAACAACGTTGAAGAAAAATTGATAAAAAAGAAGAGCATACTCCGACGATGTCGCGATAAATCGTCCAATTTATTATTATTTCTCACATTTTTCCTGCTATTTATCACAGCTATGCGACTCTTCTGCAATTTCCTAACAATTTTTCCACGTTTTTTTCTGTCGCTCTGTTTCTCTCTGATGTTCCTCTTCGTTCCTCTTCATTGACGACGAATTTGATTCGAAATTTGAAATTTATAAAAAATCGAGAAGATAGGCGAAATTTTTTTCTGCACTTTCACGTGTGGTATGTTGGGAGGATCTTCCTAGTTTTTCTTCGTTCCTCTTCACCGAAGACAAATTTAATTGAAAATTTCAAATTGGTAAAGAGTCGAGTGCACAGAATGTCAAAGATACGCGAAACATTTGGTATGTTAGGAGGATCTTCCTGGTTTTTCTTCCGGCATGCCACGCGAAGAGATGGTTCGTAGAGATACACGGTACGTCGTGTGGCATTGTTATGCGTGGCGGGTGTGTGTAACAGAGGAAACCGAACGGCATTCTGTTGAATTGACTGAAGAGATTGGATCACGGCTACACGCACAGGTTTCGTCCTTCGCGTGCAATTTCGCGGCGGACTCCGGCTCATTGACACACTACCAGCGATTAACATATATTAAGCGTCTAAACGATCATCTGGCCGGCATGAGAGAATCCTAATTCTTCCAATAAAGCCGAGCCAGAGTGTATCGCGTTTCCCGTGAAGATACAGTGACATCGTTTCTTCTTTCCTTCTTCCCTCTGCCAGCCGCGACCAGTTTGAGAAAAGGCTGACTGACCAGTTGCAAAACGACTAGTTCTCGTGCATACGATTACTGTTTTCTTCTTTCTTTCTTTATGTTTGCAATAAAGAGCAGGGTTCGTTTCTGGAGAAATGTGAAGAAATGTTAGGAAATGGTTTTCGAGTGTAATTGGTGTCCTCTGTTTCCTGGTTTTTAACAGAGTCGCGAAGAATGTTTTAAGTATGAAGGTTGACACTTTCAATGTAATCTTAAAATTATGTACGAAGGTTAGATAAAATGTCCGACTGTGTTAAAGTAATAACTTTGTTATGTTCTTTGCGCTCTCATTTCCAATCTTAGAAAATCTCGAAAGAAGGTCGAACGTAAAAATTGAAACTTTGGATGAAATTTGAAGATCTCGATTAGAAATTGCATTAGTGTCTAAAATTCTTTTTACTAGTTTTCAGTAGAATGTCACGAAATCTTAAATAGTATCGAGAAACGAAAATTTAAATTTTCAGTAAAATTTTCTAATTGATACTAAATTCGCTCCTTTTTCCAATGAAATTTCTCGAAGATTGAAAGTTTCCCTAAAATTTGAACTACGTCCAATTCTCTGAAAATAATAATTACCCAAAACTCTTCTCTCCCCGTTTTTCCACAGGGATCTTAAGCTTCTGCGTGAAACTTGAGGTGTGCAGATTTAAACTTTCGGTAAAATGAAATTACGCGAAAACACTTCCCCGCGAAATATCAAAGTGAAAAGGGAAAAGAAAATTCTCGCCCTACTTCTCTCGAACGATCGAACCGAAACGCCCGTCCTTACATCCTCGCTGAATGAAAATTTTTCCTCGACATCGATCGTGGTTCACCGCGAAAACGCCTTCGACCCATTGGAATTAAACTGTAACCCGTCTCGTCAATTGTAGGATCGCGATTCGATCGTTGGAAACGAGGCGGAACCACAAGCGAACGCCACACCAGGGACAAACGTAATCGAGTGTATCGCCTACCTTGAAACGCAGTCCAGTTGTACCGATCAATTGCAACTATCAACTTAAACGCTCCCCATCTGATCGCTATTCTTCTTAATCCTGGCGTGCAATTGAACGAACGAACGCAGCGCAATTTTCCCAATTGTCCCTTCGAGTGAAAAGAGTAATTGCTCTTAATTCGAGCGTAACTTTGCTCGAAAACTTTACTAGAATTCCTCGATCGACTGGTACAGCAACATCGCCCACGCGATGGTCATTCACCTGGTCTGAACTGTGTGACGTTCGACGAACTTACACGACTCTAGGCACAATCTCTACGCTATCTCTCTCTCTGTCAGATAGAAATATCGAAAATAAGGAGAAAAATTTGTGCGAAATAATCGAGAGAATGTCCACGAAGACGTTAATGGCTATTTAATTCGTACCTCGAGAATAACTGCACCCACGAGCGTGACGAACTTAGGTATCGTTGCTCGAAATGGAGTATCGCGTGTGAAACAGGTGTCCAGGCTGGTTTCTGTCCTTTCACGGATATCGCCTACGCCATCTTCCAGCGTCTTCGTTGGTTTTTCGCGTGTGCGGTGACTTGTTAATTTTTGCGACGCGGAAGAAGAGAAGAGCACCGTTTAAAGTGAAGAAAAAGAATCGCGGAACCGACACGTGCCGCCGTGTATCTACATCGTCGCCGTGTGTATACTCGGAGGGGGCCGTCTTGTTGCTGCAGCAACTGTGTCTCTTCGAAGGTAAACGTATGCCGCCAACTGTACTCCATGTCCACGATGAGCACAGGAAGAGACA